AATCCGAGAGAAACTACTTGACTCCAAATTCTTCCCAGGAATCACATACAAAACAGTTCCTGCCCTCCACCCCACCCGAAGTCCCTCACTACCACCACGCCCTAATGAAGGACTAAATTCATAGCAGGCTTCATCGGGTGTGTTATAGCAGGGCCTGAAGAGACAGACTTTTCTCCCCACCTCCACCCCCCCTTTCATTTTTTTCTTTTTCCTTTAAAAACTTTTCAGGGAGGGGTAAGGGAGGGAAACTAAAAATAATTAAAATGTATTATGTATATGTACCAATCCCCCATGATGAATATAATTATTATTACCACAAACATGTAATAAATACCTAAAATTTTTTTTCAAAAATTTTTTCATGGATATTAAGTGATTGAAGTCAACAGCCTACTTAAAACATGAAATTCTATCTGGTCTGTGTTATGGAAAAGAAATTTTCACATGTACAATAATTCTCCCCCTTCAATGCATTAATTAAGAATATTCAAGCTAGGTATGGTAGTACATGGCTGTAATCCCAGCACTTTGGAGGCTGTGTTAGCACTGCTGCAAGTTTGAGGCAGCCTGAACTCCACAACAAGACCCTGTCTCAAACAAAACAAAACAAAACAAAACCTAAGTATGCTATTGGCCTCCTAGTGAAAATGATGATCTGTCAATACTACTCTCACTTCTTTACTGACTAAACCCTCCCAGGTTTGCCTTTCTTCTCCCATTCCCCAGCCATTTCTCAGGATACAGATTAAAGATCACTAATACATCCAGACAGAGCTAAACTGGACTGCCAGGCATGGTGGTGCACGCCTGTAATCCCAGTGCTCAGGAGGCTGAGGCAGGAGGATTGATGTGAGCTCGAGATCAGCCTGGGCTACATAGTGAGTTCCAGGTCAGTCTCAACTACATGAAATCCTGTCTCCAAAAAAAAAAAAAAAAAAAAAAAGTTGTATAACCGAATCTGGCAAATACAAAAACTAAAATATCACTTAAAAGCTACACCATGTTGGAGATGTTTATATGAATTAAAGTGGAAACACTTTTTGTAATTTTCCCCTTTGTCTAATTTTCTCCATTTCATCCAGGTGTTTGAAAATTCAGTGAGTATAAATGCCCAACAACTCTGCCAAACTTGGAAAGCCTTGTGTTCTTACAAACTCAGTAACTCCACAATGACTTGAAGGGACACGTCTCTCCTCTTACAAGTGAAACATGGTTAGAAGGGCCGGGGATTTGGCTCAGTAGTTTTGCCGCCTGCCTCACAAGCGCAAGGTCCCAAGTTCGATCCCTGGTACCCCCGCAAAAAAACACCCATGGTTAGATTTACATGCCACATTTTAGGACTACATCTAAAGCCCCAAGAAATAAGTTCCCCACTGGTAAGAAGTTTCTTGGTAAAGGGGCGCTGACACAATTCCACCAGGGAGCGCTACCCTCTCTGAAAGAAATGCATACTGTTCCTAATTTAAAGCCCTTCGCAACCAGCCCAAAAGAATATTCTTGTTAGCCTTGGTAATAAAAAAATGAAATTGTCTCTTAAAAGATAACACACTACAGTTAAATACAATAAAACTTATCTTTGCACCAGGAGTAACACTGATAGAAGAAGACACTTCGGCTTGTTATGTGCCAGGTATAGTTGTGAGCATTTTACATATATAAACCCACGTAGTTTCCCCGTGCTATCAATAATCCCCAGTTTGCCCTAGGAGAAAGTGAGGTACAGTTATGTGATCTAACAGGCTCACCAGACTGATAACTAACAGGGCCCATCTACTTAACCTACAGAAAATAAAGGGCCTCAATGAAAAGGAGATTCAATTCTTGTGTATTTTTAACTATGCCACCAATTACATTTCATGCTAGAAATACATCATTTTACCTTTAATAAGGTACTAATTCTATCATCAGGGAGTAATGTAAATAGCTGTATTTTGACATCATTTTCATGTGCTTACGTCCTATTATATGGAACCTATCACTTAAATTTGCTCATTTGTCAGTTACATTCCATGGAAAAATATGAAAGTTCTAATTTTAAGAAGAACGAGAATGAAAAACAGAATAAGCAAGAGAAAAAGGATCTGCTATAAAGATTTAATAAGGAGTATGAAGCTCAAGCAGAGCTGTAATTTTTTTCTTTTTTGGTGGTACCAGGGATCAAACTCGGGTCCTTGTGCTTTCAAGGCAGGTGGAGGAACCACCGAGCTAAATCCCAGACATCAGAGCTATAATTTACAATGAAATATTTTGAGTAAATCATTTAAACATTAGGACCATAGTGCAACTAAATTTTCTCCTGATCTTTGGAACTTACTTGGCATTCCTTGGCTAAATTTCCATGCTGAGGACACATCTGTGATTGTCTATAGATGAGCTACTCTAAGCAAGTACTCAGATATTGCTGGAAAAAGCCCAGAATGTGTGTCTTCAGAAATTCACTGCTTTAGCCGGGTGTGGTGGCACATGCCCATAATCCCAGCACTTGGGAGGCTGAGGCAGGAGGATTGCTGTGAGTTTGAGACCAGCCTGGGCTGCATAGTGAGTTCCACATCAGTCTCAACTACATAGTCAGACCCTGTCTCAAAAAAAAAAAAAAAAAAAAAAAAAAAAAAAGAAAAAAGAAAGAAAAGAAAAAGAAAAAAATTCACTGCTTCGATTTATTAGAATTCTGGAAAGTATGGTATTTTACTCAGCTACAAGTAAATATGTTGCAGAACGTTTACATTACAACTTCTTTAGAAATACTTTACCAGTACAATGAGACTTCCAGGGCTAGTGCACGTGCAAGTTGACCCGCATCTGCCTTTGATATAATCGTAAGCATCCAACAACCTTAATTTAATTAGTGTCCTTCACACTTGTACAATTTATGGGGGGACAGCTGGCCTTGAACTCTATGTCGCATGAGGCGGTTCCACGAGTACGGATAAAAAAGCAAGAAAAGTCAGGTGTAAAACAGCAGGCATCATACGCTAGCAGGTGGGTGGGAATCCACACCATGGAACAGGAAACACTGAACGCTTTCTAGAAGCACCTTCTAGAAGAATGTCGGATTCTTTTTTACCATTTTTTCCAACTCTAACTGATTACAATGTTAAGGCTCAGGGATACAATAATGCACTTGTACAGTACCTGTATCATATGTGCGGCTGTGAAATCAATCCCCAGCACCCAAAACAAAAAACAAACAAACAAACAAACAAAAAACAGTTTAAGGTCCAAACTGTAATAATGTCTGTAGAATTTCTAATGACAGTTAAAGAGTGAAAGAAGTCATGGACTCGTCTAATTTGAGCCACCTAATCTGAGGCTTCTTCACTACAGTGGCACCTACTTTCCTTGTGAGTGCTTTTATATATTTGGGACAAACGTTGAAAGGGAAGCTCAGGCTTATCCTGGTGGGAGAAGGACCTTTCATTTTCCTTAAACTGCCCTTCAGAGAAGGAAAACAACAAAGGTAGGACCGCGCCATGGGCTCTTTTGATATAATGCACCCTGAAGCAGCACCTGCAAGAGCTCGGGCCCACCTGCGCTCAGACTCACTCTGGCTAAGCACAGTAAGAAAACAGGTAAGGGGTGGCCAGGAAGGATTCTTCCATTTCTATCCTGTTTACTACTGAAAATTCAGCAAGTGACTCTTTTCACTCCCTAAAATTAACTGTTTCATGAATAAAGCAGTCTCTGGATAGCTAATATTAAACAGGAAGTTATCTGAAAACAGCAACATCCCCCACCCCCTTCTTTTTTTTCTTTTTTTTTTTTTTTTTTTTGAGACAAGGTCTTGCTATGTAGCCCGAGCTGGCCTCGAACTCACAGTGTTCCTCCTGTCTCACCCTCCCATATGCTGGAATTACAGGTATGTGCTACCACACCTGGTCAGAAAACAGTAGCAAAAACTGGCCCTCTTTTTTATTGTTAGCCCTCAGAGGGAAGGCAAAAAATGACTAACAAAACAACTGGCTACAGGCCTGGGATTTAGCTCAGTGGTTCCACCGCCTGCCTCGCAAGTGCAAGGTCCCAAATTCGATCCCCGGTACCAAAAACAAACAAAAACTGGCTACTTTGGAGGCTGCAGAGAATTCATTCACTTGCGCTTATTTCCAGGGGACATAACCGTAGTGTTTTTAAAGTTAAAGTAATATGCAGAAAATACTCTCTTCTCAGTCTAAAAATCACAGACAAACACTTGAACTGAGTGAAAATATTACCCTGGGCCGGGTATGGGGAGAAACCACTTGCAGTTTATGCAATAGTTAACTGCACTGAGTAAATGTTCATCTTCTCAGTAGATAAAGCAAGTATAGCACAATTTTTTGGCTTTCAACTTTATTACCATTCGTTGTTATTCCAACCTTAGTTATAATTCATTAGCATTTCTTCATGAGACAATTTTTATCTTGAAACAGGGTCTCGGTTGCTAAGTTGCCCAGGCTGGGCTCAAACTTGCAGTCTTCCTGCCTCAGCCTCGGGGAGGAATTACAAACATGCCCCACCATATCCATTCAAACTGCGTTCCAAAATCAAAGAGCCAAGGTCCCAGCTCCAGCTGTCCACACACTGTAGGGCTCTGGGAAGGTTTCCTAGCCCACACAATGGAGACTGCTCCTTCTGAGAGGTGGTTCTGAGGATTCGATGAGGGAAGGCCTGATAGTGCCTCCCTTGCCTGCTGCCAGACACGCACTGTCTTCTAAAACCAGACTCACAGAGAGGGGTACGGCCCTACTGGCCTTCATGCAGATGAAGACAGAAAGCCTAGGTGATTTTCAAAACACTCGATTAAGGCCGCTGGACAGGATGGCTGGAATTGCAGGGTAAAGCTAAGGGAGTCGTGTCGCGAGCCGGAGACCAAGAGCAGAAGGGAGGGTGGTGGGAGGGTAATGTAGTGAAGAGGGTACCACAGGGTCCACAGAGAGGCACGGAGACACAAGAGCTGCTCCCGAGCCCCCGAGCCCTCAGCTGGACACGGTCCCTTCAGCTAGACGCTGAAGCTCGGGGCTTACCCAGGTTTGGCTGGGACACGGCCATGGCCCTCTGAGGCACTGCTGTGGAGGTGACGGCAGGGTGGAGGCTCAGATGACTCAGGGGCTGATTCATCGCCTTCCTAGGGTCTTGCCATGTGGTGATTTTTTCTATGTGACTAAAAGAAGGAAAACAATTCATTAATTTTTAAAATTGTCAGCATGACCATCATCATCACCAATCAAAGCCCAGCCCTTAGGTGACGCTGCTTCTTCTCTTCGGATCTGCTTGCAAATGGCTGCAAAACGGTGTTTGGCTTCACCCGGGAACACAGTTGCCCAGTGGGTCACAGTAGGGATTTTGTGGAGGGTCTCTGAACACAAGCTCGCGATCAGTCCAAGAAGCCTGAGTGGACCAGCTCCTCAGGGCCTCCCTACGCCTATTCACAATTGCCACAGGGCAGGCTCCTCCCGAAGCAGAACCTGAGCCCTCCTTCCCCATCTGCCCCCCATGTTCTGTCCACCTGGGGAGCTGACATCACCATGCTCTCTTCACCACCCTCAGTCTCCCAACACAATAGCACAGAGCTCGAACTAAGAGAAAGGCACTTCAAGGCCATGCCCCAAACCCTCTAGCAGCTACAATGTACCACAGGTGGGAAGGGTGTCCACACCTGAGACAGCATAGCAGGAAATGAGCTAGCGGGGTAAAGCAAGCACGGAATGATGGTGGAGAAACAGGCCCTGTACTGAGGTAGGAAGCTCTGGATGGAGAAGACCTGATTCGACTTTTGGTCATATACAACTTCCAACATTTGTTATTATGACCTCATGTCAGAAAAACAAGCCCGTGAGCTTTAGCCCAAGGTTTCCAGTACAGACTACTGGCTCCTGAACCACATTAGAAGGCAATTTTACTGCCTTACAAATTCCGCCCCACTCCATCAAATACACACACACACACACACACACACACACACACACACACACACACACCTTTTTCAGTGCTAGAGATGCAGTAACTCAGGGCCTCGAACATGTTAGACAAATGCTCTGCCACTGAGCCGACATTCACCCCCAGCTTTCTAAGTCTTTTTGCTTTAGGACTCTTTTCTTCTGACATATTGGAGATTGGACCCAGGGTCTTCATAGTGAGCTTTATCCCCAGCCCTATTGTTTATTTATTTTTCATCCACTCATTCTTTTTTTTTTTTTTTTTTTTTTTTTTTTTTTGAGACAATCTTGTTAAATCACTAAGTTGCCCAGGCTAGGCATGAACTTGTGATTCTTTTGCCTCAGCCCCAAGAGTGCTGGAACACAGACCATTTTATATCCAACAAAGTCAAAATTTGATAGAAGAAACTGAGAGCTAGCCCTTTGTTCTGGCCTCATGACTAGGTTTGCCTCTTCCCTGTTGAATCCTACATACTATTGACCTTTCTTTCAACACATAAGTAAAAAAGGATATGATTTTTTTCTGTTAAACACCCTAATTTTGTGGAGACACTACTGAGTCAGAGAATTCCTGTGTAACCTAGGCTAACCTTGAACTCACTATATATCCCAAACTGTAGCACCCTGACTCAGCCTCCAGTAAACTGGGATTACAAACATGTACTACCCAGCCCAGAAGCACCTTCTGAATAACAATGGCCTCTTTTGAATCGTTAATGTAAGAAACTACTATTACTATCACTTGGCTTAATCCTAGGTCTAGAAACTTCCCTGCACTTAAATTATATTTATCTTATTTTTGGTGGTCTGTTTCCTCATATTTAAATGCTGCTACTGGACTCTTCATCCAAGACTTGAAGGTATTATCCTAGGGAATTCCTTCACTGTCTTGAGAGCAGACTTGGATATTTTCCCAGGATCTCTAAATGAGCATGATTTTATAAAGGTCTAGTAGCTAGCTCAGCTGTGGAGTGCTTGCTTTGTGCAAGAGTCCCTAGGTTCAATTCCCAGGACCAAAACAAGAGTCAAAGCCAGGGGTGGTGGCACACACCTGTTATCCCAGCACTCAGGAGGATGAGGCAGGAGTATAGGTCACTGTTAGTTCCAGGACAGCCTGGGTTACACAGTGAGTTCAAGGCCAGAACCACAGCAAGACCCTGCCCACCCCCGCAAAAAAGTCAGCCTTGAGAAGGTTGAGGAGAGTTCAGATCAACTGTTGAATGTCAATACTGTGTGATCAATCTTCCCAAGAGAGAAAAATTAGTAAAAAATGAGCTGGAATAAAAATAAAAGGACCAGGACTATTTTGTAAGAAAAAAAAAAACAAAGATTGAATTAAAGATATAAGAACCATTTCCCTAAGTTATGAAAATGACATGACCTCAGTTGTGTCTTGAGTTTAGCCACAGTAACTGTTGAAAGCTTTCATAAAATCCTCATCCTACTTTTGGGCTCAGTAAACACGGCCTCAGGACATTTGTTATAGGCTTCTAGAAAGAGATACTAATTGATGAGCATGTCAGAGTTAAGTAAACTCCCTTCAGCAAAGAAATCAGAGCCAAGAAACTGATTACTGCTCCAGGGCCCATCCTAACTAAAAAAAAATGCTTTCCAAGGTAGGCAAGTCCTACATAATCATGTGCCACTCTGGGACCATAATGGGGGAGTCCTGCTGTGTTTCATGAACCTTTTCGGGCTTCCTGACACCAGGGATATTGAAGCTGTGCCAGAACTGACATCAGTGCCCAAATGTACTCCACAGAATGAAATGTAGCAATATGTACCGTTTGTTGGAAGAGATATAAAGAGTCAGCTGTTGGGTGGGGGATTTAGCTCAGTGGTGCTGCCGCCTGCTTTGCCGCAGCGCAAGGTTCCAAGTTCAAAGCCTGGGGGGGGGGGTTAGTTGTCACCAGAAATTCGGCTACCAATCTCAGTGAGGTGACACACACCTGTGATCCCAGCACTCTGGGAGGCAGGGTCAGGAGCACTTCAAGTTTTGAGCCCAGCCTGGGCAACCTAGGAAGACCCTATCTCAAAATTAAAAATACAAAGAAAAGGGGATGTAACTCATTGTAAAGGCTCTGGGTTCAATCCCCAGTCTTCTGAGAGGGCGCTCCTGCCCTCATCCTGATAGATCAGACCCCAAAGATGAAGAATTCACCCCACATCTTGAGGCCCCAGAACTCCCACCGTGCCATGGGAGCCTCCGCAGCCCACCCTTCCAACTCCACACTCACCAACACTCTCAAAGGGGTTTTGTTCCCAGCAGATTTGTTAATTAAAGTGTCACTCACTGTATTCCCCAGACTCAAATGTGAGAGGAGCCTTTCTTTCATGAACAGTTCTCAGCACTCTGTGACAGCTCACAGAAGAAAGCCCTGAAATTCCCAGCCTCGGCAGAGCAGGAGACCTGGTAAGCCCTGGCTTCTGTGCCGTCCCAAGTGGCTCCCAGGCTGCATGCAGAAAGCAAGGGGCACCGTATTGCTCACAAGAGGCACTTAAGGCGCCACTGATGATTTGATTTGAAAACGAAATTCTATTTGTTCAAGTCATTTTGAGCTTGGGGCTCTGGCTCTGCCCTCCCCTCTCCAGACTTAAAGGGTGCTATTCACACTTTCATTCTCCTGTCTCTTCTTGCTCCCTGTCTTACTGACTCACTTCCTCTCTCCTGTTTCTCTGTGTAACCTGATGTTTGCCAGGACCCGCGGTTTAGCTCTATTAATCCCTACTTCCCTACCACTCCCACCTCTTTCCGGTCTTCACTCCCCTACAAATATATATTTAATCTACCTATTCTACGCGCATTCCCTAAACATACATTCTTTATAGTTTTCATATTGAAAATGGAACAAAGAAAGAATATAAGATGCCAAGCCATTGGTGGGGGTGTTTGTTTGTTTGTTTTTTCCCTTCCTTATCTAAACTCCTTTGTACTTTTCTGGTTTTTATCAGGGACTCTAGATTGTTTTCATTACCTAAAAGCCAAAATATTCATGAAAGTACAAAAAGAGAAAAGGTACAATAGATACATGAATGTGCAGGCCACAGAGTACTAAAAGGTTACTGAAGTGGTGTATGCCTACAATTTGAGGACTCTGGGAGGCTGAGGCAGGGGGATCACAAACTCGAGCACAGCCCAGACAACTTAACAAGTTAGCGGACCTTGTCTCAGAAAAGGTAAAAATAAAAAAGAAATGGGGTGTGGTGGTGCATGCCTGTAATCTCAACCCTTGGGAGACTGAGGCAAGAAGACCATGGCAAATTCGAGGCCAGCCTGGGCTTCATAGTGAGGTCAACCCCAGCCTGACCTACATAGTGAGATCTTGTCTTAAAACAAACAAGGACTGAAGGTGTAGCTCAGTCCCTGGGTTAAATCCCAAGTGCCAATAAAAAAGCTACCGAAGACAAACCACAAGTTGGCCAATTATGTTCATTCAGCATGGCCCAAGTATGACGAGAAATGGAATCAATTACTTGGCTCGATGTCACTTATAAAGAAAAAGAGTACAAGATCCTAAGGGAAGGGAAAACTTCTCCTGATAACAACAACAAAACTTTTTTCCTAGACTTAAAAAAAAACAAAATCCCCCACAAGGGGTTTACATGACCGGCCTTCGGCGTCACAACCAGGGAGGGTGAACCTTTTATAGTTTTCAATGATACAAGGAGCCGCTGCAGCACACGTGCCGTAGGTTCGCCACCGCGGCACTGCCTGCGACAAATCCAGCAGGGAGCACACATCCCCTTTCCTCTGAAGTCCCCTCGATCGCTATTCCCCATTTCCACAGAGCCTCCTTCTTTCACAACCAGCTTCTGGCTCCCACCACAGGGAGGCTCTCTGCCCCACAACCAGCCGGGTCGGGAAAGAGCTCAGCCAAGTGTAGCGGTACACCCCTGTAGTCCCAGCACTCGGGGGGGCTGCGAGTTCAAGGCCAGCCTTGGCCACACAGGGAGACCCTGTCTGAAAAAGAAAAGAAAAGAAAGGGACTCACAAGGCCAGTGCTTCTCTGAGAAGATACCTGGCTTATGGAAAACTGTGTGTGAGATAAGTTTTCCCTGTGCAAATGTGTCTTCAATAAAGACACATTTAGAAAGCCACTTTTACTGATTAGGTGAATCCTGTGTTTAGAGTTTAAAATGCCACTGAAGTAGGATGGGCAGCACTCGCACCCTCCCTGTCACCACCCCTTAGCCCTCAGGGACTGGTCCCTGCCATGGGGGAGTG